TAAAATACCACTGTGTGCTACAAAGCTTTTCCATTTCATTTACCATCTTTACAATTGTTTACCCCTGTATGAGAAGCAAATAATTCTGCTAGGTTAATTTGAACTGACAAACAAAATTATAAAAGGTATTTTTAAAAATTTTTTTGTATTGTAGTTTGACTTTAACCTTTTACTATTTTTTGCTATCTTCATATTTTTCACCTAACACACTGGGCATAAATTCTGCACTTTACGTTTTAATTTTGGGGACGTAAAGTCGTAAAAAATGCACGTTTTCACATTTTAAGCCTTACTCAAAAACAATCGTACTCAGCATAAAACACACTCAGGGACAGTACAGAGGTGGTATATTAGCAATTTATAACTTTTAACTTTTATTAAAAAGTTAAGTTTGTTTGGTATAGTTAAAAGTTATAAAGTTAAAATAATAGCCAAAGTTAAATAATAGTGAAGAGGCCGGTATCAATCTAAAATCCGATTAATACTGCAGCCCCCACTCCTTGATTGGCGGTACACTTCGCTCAGGTCTATGGATGTACCCAATAAATACAAATCTTTTATACTTTTAACAATAGATGCGCAAGGTATCCCGACTCTCCCTTGCAATTAGGTAATTAATATAATAGACATAATAAAATTACTTCAATTTGAATATTTCTTACCTGTAATTATTCTATGATATATAACAAATCCGTTGTATTTACTAAAACTCAACTTAATTTCAGTTATTTTATATTTATAAACGGGACTCATGATTTGGTTTTTCTTAGCATTCTCTTAAGGGTGGTGTGGTGGTGAAAAATTATTAGGGTGGTAATAAATTAGTGAAGTTTAGGGTGGTAATAAATTAGTCCGTGTGGAGTTGTCTGTCTCCCATCGGACGCGTCCCCAGGTGGTGGATAGGGGAACGCCCTAACCGGTCCTAGGACCGGCGGGTAGGTGGGAAATAAAATACCACCCGTGAACCAAAACGGACTAAGGTATGGTAACCCTAACAGAAGAGTCCCTGGCCCTCCAGGTTGGAGGTTGGGCTTAGGGCTAACAACTCTACCCCGTAAAAAAATATCGTTACGAAATCTACAGCTAAAGAAACCGGACGGAACTTACGACGACGACCAATGCAACGAAATAAGGACAAAGATTTAAAAATTTACACGTGGAATGTGCGGACACTTTATGAACCTGGAAATCTTAAAAAATTAATAGACATACTAACTCAATATAAAGCACACATTACTGCTGTGCAAGAAGTAAGATGGACTGGCCAAGGAATTATCCAAAAGAGACAATGCGATATATATTACAGCTGTCACAAGAATAATCACGAATTCGGGACCGCATTCATTGTTAACAAAAAAGTAAAACATCTTATTATGGACTTCAAACCAATAAGTCCAAGAATATGTTACCTAAGAATAAGAGGTAAGTTTTTTAACATCAGTCTCATAAATGTACATGCCCCAACCGAAGACAAAGAAGAGGATGTCAAAGATCAATTCTATGAGGAAGTAGAGACCATCTACGATAGATGTCCCAGAAACGACATCAAGATCATAATTGGAGATCTTAATGCAAAAATAGGGAAAGAAAATATATATAGTCCATACATCGGAAAATGCAGCGCTCATGACGTCACCAACGACAATGGAAATAGAATAATAGGATTTGCAGCATCCAAGGGCATGGTCGTTGGAAGTACCTACTTCCCCCATAAGAATATCCATAAAGTAACATGGACGTCGCCTGATGGTACAACCAAAAATCAAATAGATCACATCCTAATAGAAACCAGGCACTTCTCTAATCTAATGGATGTACGTACTTATCGTGGAGCTAATATAGATTCAGACCACTTCTTAGTAGGCGCAAAAATAAGAGCAAGAATCTCAAATGCAAAAAAAGAAAAGGGTAAGAAAAGTACTCGATACAATTTAAAACTCTTGAAAGAGCCCCGTGCACTAGAAAGGTATCAAAATTACCTTGAACATGAAAGCACAACAGATGAGAATTTAACAGCTAGCGAGCAATGGGATATATGTAGAAGAACAATTAAGGAAGCGGCAAACAACGTCCTAGGACCAGAAGAATCCACTCCACGCAACAGTTGGTTCGACGATGAATGTGAAGATATCACTAAAAGAAAAAATTATGCATATAAACTTATGCAACAAAGAAGAACACGGGATAAGGAGCAAATGTACAAAGATCTTAGGAAGGAGGAAAAACGCATACATCGAAGGAAAAAGCGGACCTTCGAAAACCAGATTATGCAAGAGCTTCAATCATTAAAGGGGCAAAATGAAACTAGAAAGTTCTATAATATCCTAAATAAGACAAGAAAAGAATTTAAACCACGGCTGACGATGTGTAGAGACAAAAATGGACATATAGTCAGTACCGCTGACGCAGTACAAAGCAGATGGGTTGAGCACTTCAAAGAACTACTTGGTACCGAAGTGGAAAATGATGCGTCACCCCAAAGACCAAGAAATAACACTCACGTAGAACCTCCTTCAATATTTGAAGTGAAAGACGCAATCACACGACTCAAAAATGGCAAGTCCCCAGGAGTGGATTGTATCCCCGCAGAGCTCATCAAACATGGAGGTAACAGCATTATGCACCAAATTCACAACATAATAGTCAAAGTCTGGGAAGAAGAACAAATGCCAGAGGAATGGTGCACTGGAATCATATGTCCACTACACAAAAAGGGAGATTTGTTGGAATGTAAAAATTATAGGGGTATAACTCTTCTGAATACAATGTACAAAATATTCTCCAACACCCTGTACAGCCGTTTAAGTACGTACGTGGAAGAAATCCTTGGTGAGTATCAAAGCGGTTTTAGGCCAGGTAGGTCAACAATTGACCAGATTTTTGTGCTACGTCAAATCTTAGAAAAAACCAATGAATTTAATATTGACACGTTCCATCTCTTTGTGGACTTTAAGTCAGCGTATGATAGCGTCCTAAGAGGTAAACTATACGAAGCCATGAATGAACTTAACATTCCCCATAAATTAATAAGGCTCGTAAAAACAACTATGAGTAAAGTGATCTGCAGAGTGCAAATACAAGGCGATATGTCACAAGCGTTTGAAACATATGCAGGGTTACGGCAGGGAGACGCGCTGGCGTGCCTTCTCTTTAATATAGCGTTAGAAAAGACTATAAGAGATGCCGAGTTACACAATAGGGGAACAATCTTTAATAAATCAACGCAGATTATGGCGTACGCTGACGATTTGGATTTGATTGCACGTACTACACGAGGACTTAAAGAGATGACTTCCACCTTCTTGACAGCCGCACAAAATATGGGCCTTAAAATAAACGAGGAAAAAACCAAAATGCTAGCATCTATTCCAAATAACAGAGATAGAGCTAGAAACGCCGAACAAAACTTCAGTATAGACCAATATAATTTTGAGGTAGTAAATAAGTTTACATATTTGGGTTCTCTCATAACAAACGATAATGACACATCTGAAGAAGTTAAACGGAGGGTACTGCTAGCAAACAAATGTTATTTTGGACTAAGCAAGCAGCTAAAAAACAGAAACTTAAGCCAGAAAACCAAACTAATAATATATCGAACACTCATCCTACCAGTGCTGACATATGGGTCAGAAACATGGACCATCTCCAAAACAGACGCAAATCTTCTGCTCGTCTTCGAAAGAAAGATACTAAGAAGAATAATGGGCGCATTCTGTGAGAATGGTATTTGGAGAAGGCGATATAATTTCGAATTGTACGAGAAATATAAAAAAATAGTAAATGGTAGAGATGTAATATCCTTCATAAAAATAGGCAGGCTTAGATGGGCTGGACATGTGTCAAGAGCAAATGAGAATTACCCACCCAGACGAACTCTATTATCGGTCCCAGTGGGAAATAGGAGTAGAGGCAGACCACGACTGAGATGGAGGGACGGTGTGGACGAGGACGCAAGGAAAATCGGCGCGGCAAATTGGCAACGGTTGGCGATGAACAGAAACGACTGGCGAAATAGACTGGGGAAGGTCAAGGCTCAACTAGAGCTGTAGCACCACTGATGATGATGATGATAAATTAGTGAAAAATGGGTGAACAAATATGCCATAAGCAAAAAGTTTTTTTTCTGAATTCTGCTAGCTTGAACCTTAAGCCAGCAGAATCTCTCCCCTTATGGTTGGTTTGGTGGTGAAAAATTATTAAGGTGGTAATAAATTAGTGAAAAATTGGTGAAAAAATATTACGTAGGTTAAATTGGATTCCGCTCATTTGTCCCCGCTAGCTTAAGGGTCTTTACTTTTAGGTACAAGCAACAAAGTATTATTATATTTGGATATCACATTTAGCAGCTTAAAGTTATTCATAAACTAATTCGTAAGGTTTTATTATGCAATTTGCAATTTAGTTAAATTTTGCAATGGATTCTGTATTTCATTATCTTTTATTTTGTTATTGACGATTATGGTAATTTTAGTAAGTTTTAATTGTTATTTTTTTGACTTTTTGTAAGCTTTGTCCATAAAATTGTACAATTTTTAGTGACAATAAAGCATATTTCTTCTTTTTTTGTTTTCATAAAAATTGGCTCTCTGGAAGCAAGTGGGCTGCGTTGCTAGTTATTACAGTGGGTGTCTGCGATTGGATCTAGATAGATGGTTGAATGAATTGAATTTGCTTTAGTGGGCGCGTACTGTGAAATTCTATATCGAGACTACGTATGATTTTCTGTAGATCTATACATTTTATGTCTTGGTTATTCTTGGCTTCCTTCTTCGTGGCTTTTTTGTTCATTGTTTCGTTTCCTGTGGAAACTGACCTCTGATGTATGTAATAGCATATTTTTTCGGAATTTATAGGTCTTCGTCTGAATTTATTTCTTGCAGAATATTCGGGTAAAACTGCGGCAGACATTATTAAAAACTGTGCGATAATTGTTTACTGATGGCAAGAGGTTTGTATAAATTAGGTTGATACAAACGCAATTTTTGTTTTGATTTCAGGTCCCGACGTCAATGGAGTTTTTGCAGGCCACACAGCACTCCAAGCCGCCAGCCAGAACGGTCATCTAGAAGTCATCTCGGTGCTTCTTCGTCATCACGCCGATGTCGAAATCGAAGATAAGGACGGGGACCGAGCAGTCCATCATGCCGCTTTCGGAGATGAGCCTGCAGTGGTCCAGCTGTTGGCTCACGCAGGTGCCGATCTGAACGCTAGGAACAAAAGAAGACAAACTGCGCTGCATATTGGTGTGAATAAGGGGCATATAGGCGTCGTCAAGATGTTGCTGGATCTGCAGTGTCATCCTAGTTTACAGGTAAGTCATTTTTATAAGACAAACTGTTTTCTAGAATTTTTATGGAGGAATACTATACGGCCATAATTAAGTCATCAACATAGAGATAAATAAATGGATGGAGAAAAATTTATAATGCGAAAAATGCCATCAATCACAAGAAGGATGTGGATACTTTAAGTTCAATCTACACCTTCCTGCTTAAACAAAATATTTCAGGTATAAAAAAATTGTCGCCTAGATATATGAGTGATGATTTTTAACTATTTTAATAAAAAAAAAAAAGTATATCTCCATCATTATTATAAAAACATTCCTCATCTGTATTATTTTATTATATTTTCCATCAACCCGTTTAATGCCAATTTTAATTATTTTATTTTTTATATTTTATATTTATTTCAGTATTCGTTGTTAACATTTTAGATTATATATGTCATTTTTACATTTTAAATTATCCCGCTATTTCAAACAAGTTTAGTGACACCGCCGTAAATTGTTAATTACTTTTAGATTGTTTTAAACTACGTGTAAATTTTTCAATTGTTTGTGGTTAGATTTAAAGTAAATATATCGTTATTAATTAAATAAAAAACACATTGTGAACTATGGATACCACTTCTTATGTATCTGCAACTATGTTTAATATATACATAGATAATACTTTCTTTGTGTTCCACCAAGTCACTGAGTTACTTGCTAGGGTAAGTGTTTTATAAATTTGTATACTTAGTTTCCACTTGTTCATTGTTTGTTCTCTCGTTTGTTTGTAGTTTACTCTGATGATGTCAATAATCATTGACGAAAGCTTAGACCTTTAATTAAAAAGCACATCTAACGAAGCACCCTAGTTTTATTTTGCTTCCTCAGTTATAAAAGGGTATCTCCCAGTATTAACTCCTTTTCACTATATATATATATATATATATATATATATATATATATATATATATATATATATATATATATATACATACAAGTATACGCTCCCGAAGAAGTCGAAGCTGTTTTCACTTAAAGATCCGCTTTGTGTGGGGGATCATCCCATTCGTGGTTTCGCTTTACAGTTTCTGGTGTGACTTCGGTGTTTCCAATACTTTTCTCCATTCTTCTCTCTCTTTTATCGTCCTTTCTATATTGCTAATTTCAATACTTCTTAAGTATTTTTCCATTTGTTGTCTCCATCTCAGGTTAGGTCTGCCTCTGATTCTTTTACGTGATGGTATCTATTCTGTGATAAAAGAAAAAAAAGACTCCAATGGGCAGGACACCTCAGAAGACATTCTGACGAACGAACAGTAAGACTGGTGTGGGAGGAAGTCCCAACTGGAAGGAGACCACGTGGACGCCCTCGTCTCCGGTGGCGAGATAATATAGCAGGAGACCTAAGCACTATGGGCGTGGAGAATTGGATGGAGTTTGCTTAAGACAGAAAACAGTGGAGGCATGTTGTCGAGTCGGCTAAAACCCACGAAGGGTTGTAACGTCATGGAGTAAGTAAGTAAGACATTTTTTTCTCAATAGTCCATTCCAGAGCTTGATTTATTGCAAACAGTTCTGCGGAATAAATGGAACATTGTTGGTTTAATTGAAGCATAATGTGATCTTGATTGTTTTGGATATATACCTCACAACCAACTCCTAAAATCAATTTTGACCCATCTGTGAAAATCCTATATGGCTTATCAAATTTGGCAAGTTATTTCTGAAGTTGAATGGCGTTGGTATCATCAAAAGTAGGGAAATAAACTTTAGTTTGGGAATAAAGAATATTGAAATTAAATCGGAAAATATTAGTTTCAGCTGGAATTTCTAAATAGGAAGAAACGTTAGGAAATGCTAAGAAAAGTCGGAGAATTTTTGTTAAACACAGGGGTAAGATTTCAAATTTTTAGCAAAATCGATTCAGATATAGAAAATTTAGAGGTAGTGACCTGCTTTCTTCCACAGTAACTATAAATACTAATTACATTGAAAAGCTCCGGCAACCTTACACTCCAATATAAGAGCTTTCAAAACAAGTTTATGTTAAAAATGTTTTCGATATTTACAAAAACCCCGCATGAAAGAGCCATATCAAAATCCTGGCTTATCTATCTTCTCAATTACTGTTTTTGTTATTACTTTGAACATAATGTGTAATCAAAAATGCTACAAATAACCTGTTTCATATTTCCCGGTTTACCACAATCGTTTTTCTTGCTAAAAGTTGATACCATTTCGTCGTCTACTAATAACGGCTTAGGCGACGTTGTTTCTCTGTGTCGGAGTCTAATAAAATATTTCGAAATCACATACTTGCATACATTCGCAAAGAAATGAATGCCACGAAATCGCGAAACTATGCAATATCTTTCGTAAAATTAAATTTTACCACAGATATATCTTCGGCGAATCTCTTATACTTTTATGTACGTTTTGTCTTCCGGCGAGCAATATATGTATATGTATGAACAGTTTTACCGTTTTTGGATGCAGCGCGTACTTTTATCGCCCGAACGGATTATTGTAGCCACAATAAATGAATCTCGAACTGAAATATTGTATGTTTGAAATTTTTAAGGTTTATAATGTAGCTAAAATCCGTCGACGCGTGGCTGGAGATGAACACTAAAAACTTTTTCCCCTTCTCTAAAAAAAAAAGAAAAAATAAAAAATTGAGTAAGACAAGGAGTTGCGCTCTCAACGGTACTATTTATTCTATCACTAGACAAGATAATAAAAAAGCTGTCAAACGGGGGAACTATAAACACGAATGCAGTACAAATAATAGGATATGCGGACGATATAACCATAGTAGCAACAGATAAAAATCATTAAAGAAAACCTTTCAAGAAATAGAAAACGAAGCCAAACTCAGAGGACTGGACATAAATGAAAATAAAACAAAATACATGAACGTAAGCAAGAAAAAAAGACACAAATGACAAAACTGGTCAATCTATTGATTCTTGTAATACTGATGTTTAAAATATATTTTTAATGTACCTTTATGCGAAGTACTATTTTGTAAATAAATGCAATAGGTTTATACATCATTAACAAATTCAAGTAGTCAAATATATTATCGTGGCTGAATGACCAAGTTATCCAAAGCCATTAATTAAAACAAATATATAAAAAAAATCTTTTTCAACAAATTTAAATTTATATTCAAATATTCCTTCCTTGTCAATAAAATATTTTTTGATTAACTGCTTATTTTCAACCTTTAGAAACAACCCCTTGTGTCAAAACGTTATAAAAAATTTTGATAATTTCAAACGCTATAATCTTATATTTATATTTCAGAAAAAAATTCAATTCCTGTTCATAACATTTTTAACCCTTTAAAACCACTCCTATGCTGACGAAACAAACTCCCCTTTGATAAATCTGTAAATTAAAAAAAAATTTGTATTTCCGGTATTTCGAATATACATTCATATATAAAGAAAATAAGTTGATGTTTTTTACATGGATCCTGCAAAACTAGATTCACTCTATGAGCATCTTCTTCAAGTGCCGTCTTCGTTCCGAAGTTTGGCTATCATCAAAGCTATGCGTATTTTTGATGCTGCAGATCTAAACAGTTGGTAATTGGTGCAATTGTACCATTCTCTCAAGTTTTTCAACCATGAATGCCCTCTTCTTCCTATAGATCTCTTTCCCATTATCTTTCCCTGTATAATCAATTGCAGCAACTGGTATTTATCTCCCCTCATAACATGTCCCAAATATTGTAGTTTGCGCTTTTTAACAGTAAGTATCAGCTCTTTCTCTTTCCGCACTCTTCGCAAAACCTCCACATTTGTTACTTTCTCTGTCCAGGGTATTCTATGAGCATGACAGTGAGTAAATAAAGCTTGCGGTGCAATAGTTTTAACTTTTGCCTGGAGAGGGAGACCATTCAATTCACCAGACATCACAGCAGCGCCGTCATAAGTTTGCCCTACCAATTTATTTTTGATATCAAAAAATTTTAGTCTATCCTTTAAAACACCAAAAATATATTGTGCCTTATGGCTTTTACTCACATCTGTAAAACCTAACAACCTCTCATAAATATTACCACGTAACGCCTATAGAACAACAACTGATAATTGTGAATAACATGATATATCGGCAGTTTCATCTAATTCTAGTGAAAAGCAAATGGTTTCCTGAATCTTAAATTCAATAACGTTACTCAAAATGTAACAAATTGATTCTATTAATTCAGTGTTTCCCAAAGTGGGGGTCGCCATGAGGTACTAGGGGGGTCGCTGAACATTTCCAAAATAAGACAAAAGCACCACTTTGTTAGATCATGTATTTTTATTTTAACAACGCCGTAAATAGAAATTAACAATTAATTATCAGACGAAATATAAAACTAAATATTAAAGTCCGTAAAAATAAAAGAGTAAAACAAAGTCAAATATTATAATCTTAATGAGAGCTATGCGCCTGTTTCTGTGAAACTAATCTTTCAAATCTAGGCTGTGTATTTGAGACACACACAATTATATCATTTTCAAGTACGAGACGATTTCTAACTCTTGTTTTAATGGCAGTCATAGACGAGAAACTTAACTCACACAAATATGATGTTACAAATGGAACCAAACATTTTACAGCTTCACTCGCCAACTGGGGGTATTCCTGCATCTTTTCGGTCCAAAATTGGTCCGAGTTCTGGGAAAAAAATTGGAGCTTCAACATTCCATCACTTGATATTTCAATAAGTTTTTCTTTCATGTTTATTGGTATTTCAACATGCTGAAAGGAATCGGCTAAAAACGGATTTAGTATCCATCTGCAACTGTCGTAACTGTTTTGAATTTCTTCGGGGAAATAATCACAGAGCTGTTGTTTTAAATTGAGCAAAGTAACATGCATGTCAGCAAAAACTTGTTCAAAATTTGTAGCACTGTAATTGGATACATTTTCCATAATTTCCTGAAGGCACTGGAATGAATCGAGTTGTTTTTTGCCAAGTGAGGTCGACCATAAATCGATTTTTCTTAGAAACGCCTTAATTTTATCTGTGGCTGTAATTATATTAATGTCGCGACCTTGTAAATTACTGTTCAAAATATTTAATTGCTCGAAAATATCAGCAAGGAAACCTAGTTTCAGAAGCCAAATAGGATCGGAAAATTGATTTTCATATGGGGACTTCTCATCTTTCAAATACATTAAAAGCTCTGCTCTTAAGTGAAATACTCTTTTTAAGACGTTGCCCCTTGAAAGCCACCTTACTTCGGTGTGATAGAGAAGATTTTCAAATAAAGCACCCATGTCTTCGCAAATTTTTCTAAAAATACGGGTCTGCAAAGCTTTTCCTTTAATGGAATTTACAACTTTAATGATGGTTTTCATAACACAGTCCATTTCAGGAGGTAAAGCTTTGGACGCAAGAGCTTCTCGATGTAAAAAACAATGTCTCCATTTGGCATTAGGCATTATTTCTTGTAATTTGACGACAAGACCAGATTTATGTCCTGTCATAGCTTTAGCGCCATCTGTGCATATAGCAATACATTTACCCCAGTCAATATCATATTTACTTGTACGTTTCACAAAAGTGTCGAGTAAACATTTTCCAGTGGTATTGGTCTCCAATGGGAAACAAAATAAAATATCTTCTTGAATGCCATTATTTGTATCATATCTTACAAACGTAATGAATTGGGCACAGTTAGATATATCTGTGGATTCGTCCATTTGAAGAGAGAAGTACGTGCATTTATTAAGATTTTCCACAACTTGCGCTTGAATATCTTCTGCCATATCACTAATTCTTCTTTGGATAGTATTATTTGACAGAGGTATTGTATTTAATTTTGCAGCCTCTCTTTCCCCACACATTATATGTACCATTTCAACAGCTGCTGGAAAAATCAGATTTTCAGCAATTGTGTGCGGATTACTAGTTTTGGCAACACGATAAGCAACTTTATAACTTGCTAATAATGCTTTTTCATTAGTAGTGGTTGCCAAGGGAAAACTGTCTTGCTGTTTGTGAAGGACGTTCAGCATTCTTTCAAAGAATTCTACGGGCTTGTCTTTTTACCAAGTTTTTTAAACCACATTGTGATTTATTGGAAATAACAGTAAAACCATATTTAAGATATTCATCAATGTAGAATCTGTTTTTCTTTTTATTGCTGCTACTGCCACTTTCAGACGTAGATGGTTCTGCACTTCTTTTTAAAAACTTATCCATAATTTATAATTTATCGTAGACGTAAATACGTAAACGGGAATACGTAAGTCGTAAAATATTTACTCATTACTCAACACCGCGTTCGCCACCATATGCTGTTTGGATTCGAACTGAGGTTTCGTTGCGCATCGCCGCTTATATAAAGCCAAAACGAGGCTACGAGAACGTTCCAGAGTGCCATCTAGTAGCGAGCGCTTTCGCGATTATCATGGAAGAGTTTTGCGATGTAGACACAAGCTAATATGTCGCGGTGTACAATGTGCAGTCGACTTCTTATTATTTATTTTTATTGTAAATGCTATTCTGGCAGAAGTACCTACTACTAATTACTAGTGGGACAGATCGCAATCATTAAAATAATTGTATTAAAATAAAATAATTGTTTTTGATTTAAACTTAAACAGTAAAGTAAAATTAAATTTGAGAAACCATCAGATAATTGTAAATTAGGCACGCTATTTCTGTCAAATAATATTGAATAAATGAGTGGGGGAAATTGGGGGGTCGCGAACAAATTTTTTAGCAAAAAGGGGTCGCGGTTTAGATAAGTTTGGGAAACTGTATTAATTCATTCTGGATTGTTTTAGATACACCGCTAAATGTCTTCGAATCAGAAAGTAAATTAGAAAATTTCAAATCGTATTTCTTAAATATTTTTATTAGTTCTCTATAATTACCCTGACTTAACGAATGCTCCGATTCATCGTGTCCCCCAAATGGTAATTCCTGACAACTTAAAAAAATTACAATATCAATTAAACGACGTAAAATTATTTATTGCGTGATTATTTTTTACAATTTCGTTATGTTTAATAACATTTTCACGTTGGGTATTATCTAATGAAACATAGATATTTTGTTCTGCAAATAAATGTAATTTAATCTGGCTGTATGTATGATCTTTCGAAATAACATATTTCTGTAAAGCCCTAAATAATTCCTTTAAATTATCGTAACCAGATTCACACCACGAATTTTGATGTTTGCCCCTATTTGTCGAAAATAAAATGCAAGGCCAACAGAAAAGTTTGTTTTTTATTTCACTCCCGGTAAGCCATGAGTACTTGCTGTAACAATTATCTGAAAATGATCTATTACTTACCTTATCCCCCGCACTTATATTTATAAGCCGGGACATTTTAGACAAAGGACGCTCTTTATTTTTAATAACAATTTGTTCTTCGTATGGAATAGATGAAAACCCATTTTGCAAAATATAATTTACAATATCAGATTTATCAATACTTACAGTTTCTCACGCAGCTTGCATTTTTTAGGTTAATTTACCTGAATTTGTTTACACTTTAATTAAAAAAACTTCTAATATATCAAAAAACCTTTAACTATTTACGGCAGCGTAACTTATCACAGTATTACTTTAGAAAATATAAGAGAAAATAAATCTCAGAAATACCAGTAAAGCCAGTCCGTGCACTCACTATCACTTCACTACTTAAGTTCTTAAGTACTTATCCATCCCGAAATAACATTTCATCCTGCGCTCGCAAGGTACAGTTTGCGATTATTATTCCAAATGAAGCATCGGTAAATTTAAATTTGCCGTACTTGGCAATTAAATGCGTATGGAGAGAAATGTATGTTTGGTTGCCCATCAACTAATATTCCGTTGATTTTTACATGTAAATCGTCAAGCTTGGGATCGGCTTGCGAACCCAAACGTGCTTTTAAGAATTCACAGCGATGGATGCTCGATTCGGATCATTAATTTGAAAAGTGTCTTACGCAGGATGACTTAACGCTCAGATTGGTCGAATTCTTTTAAAAACCATGAATAAACTTTAGTCTGTATTATCTCACAGATATTTTTTTTATTTCATAGAAACAAATAACATCAACTTATTTCCTGCTACAATTAATTATCGAAATACTGATTAAATTAAATATTAAAAGAAATCTATATCTATAAATGTGCGGGTCGGCACTGCCGACTAGTGCCGACTCTGACCGGCTGCCACTGCTATATGAGAATCACTATGTTTTTATTCTATTTATTATTTATTGACAAATCATCGACCTCACTGTTGGGCCTCTGGAAGCCGAACAATCTTACAGGGCTTTTACAGAATCTGGCATACAAATCAGTAAATTCCATCAATTATTTGATTATTTTTGTAGTTAAGAT